ACCATCACATACAAGCCTCATATACAATCTCTCACCTCTCGTGCACCAGTAAGTCTCATTCACAGTAAAATAGTTATTTTACCTTCATTTTTCCATGTTTTGTAATATGAAACAAAGCTTATAATTTTCCATTAACATTTCTTATTGCATACAAGGTAAAATACTATTTATAAATTACTTTCAATTATCTTGTTAAAAACATTGTTTTTTTTTTTAACAGAATTTCTTAAAAGTTTGAATTTATTTCGATCTCCCTCTATTGTACTTTTGTTAATAGTAAAACAATAAATATACACGTAAAGGAGCGACGGGACTCCTCTTTTCCCTCAAGATTAGTTATTGTTGATACTTGGGAAGAACTAGTTATTAATAACACAGTAATTCCTAAATCTTTACAATATAAAACCAGGAGAGTGATTGGTTACCTAAATTCACTTCTTTATGAATCATTTACACCATTTGGTTCTCATCATAAACACTTGTAAAATGAAAATATAACTAACTACTGCTTAAAATTACTATGGAAAAGCAAGAAAATGTTTACAAGATTTTTGCCAATTTGGGCACTCATTTTCCCACAAATTGGTTCGCCACCTCAGCCTTAGGCCGACCTCTGACCTTTGTCAAGATGTGACCCACAACAGTTACCCAACTCCCAGGTTCCTATACTGCTAGAGGAAGAGAAGCATCAGGTGTAAGGAAACGTGCCCGAATGTCTCGGCTGCCCGAGAATCAAGCTGATGAAATCTGTGTGTGTACTTACCTAGTTGTGCTTGCGGGGGTTGAGCTCTGGCTCTTTGGTCCCGCCTCTCAACTGTCAATCAACTAATGTACAGGTTTCAGAGCCTACTGGGCTTTATCATATTGTTACGGCCACAATGCGACGCAACCGGGTTCTTTTCAGGTGGTACGAAAGTTCTGGTATCCGGCCCCAAGTTAGTAGTGGCTTTCAAGAGGTGAGCTCAGTAATGCAAGTACAACAAAGGGGGAGGTGCATTAAACATTACAGTTCATCACTTTATCCATATATAATTATTCTTCCCATCACCATATATATATATATATATATATATATATATATATATATATATATATATATATATATATATATATATATATATATCTTTAAAGGAAATATTACTACACTATGTACATCGTCGTCTCTCTCAGAAGACACTGAACACTCGGCGAAGCTCAAACCGTGCAGTCTTGTACCGTGTTTCCCCATCCGTGGTACTACTCTCAGCAAGTACCGGGAAACAATGAGTCTACCCTGGCCACGGGCCAGCCAAGCCACAATCACACTAAGTGCCCCTTCGTGAAGGCCCACAACCACAGTCCAGCCTGGTGCTGGCAGGTACCAATCAGCCTCACGCTGTTAGGCCACTTCACAAGCGAATACTAGGGTTGCGAGCCCTAGGCAGGAGCTTCGTGTAACTCGCTGGTTACTCTCCTCTTTCGGCACCACAGTATGTGGTATACAAAGTTCTGAAAGATTCCTTACACAAGTTTCTAAAAGCCGTTCTTATGTTAGCCTAGCTGGCATATGCCGCTGATGTTATCCTCTTGATTTGGGCTTCAGGAGACAGGTCTGGCATGATATCAACCCCCCAGGTCTTTCTCTCTGACTCTTGAAGTATTTCATCTAGCAAATGATACCTTGTATCTGGTCTCCTGCTCCCTACACCTATCTTCATTACATTACATTTGCTTGGGTTAAACTCTTAACAACCACTTGTTCGGCCATTCTTGCAGCTTATCCAGGTCTTCTTGAAGCCTCAAGCTGTCCTCCTCTGTTTTAATCCTTCTCATAATTTTGGCGTCGTCAGCAAACATTGAGAGGAATGAGTCTATACCCTCTGGGAGATCATTTACGTATATCAGAAACAGGATAGGTCCAAGTACAGAGCCCTGTGGGACTCAGCTTGTGGCTTCACGCCAATCTGAGGTCTCACCCCTCACTAACTCTCTGCTTCCTATTGTTTAGGTACTCCCTCATCCACTGGAGCGCCCTACCAGTTACTCCTGCCTGTTTCTCCAGCTTATGCACCAGCCTTTTATGGAGTATTGTGTCAAAGGCTTTCCGACAGTCCAAAAAAATGCAGTCTGCCCATCCTTCTCTTTCTTGCTTAATCTTTGTCACCTGATCGTAGAATTCTATTAAGGCAAGATTTACCCTCCCTGAACCCATATTGATGGGTTGTCACGAAGTCCCTTCTCTAGATGTGTTACGTTTTTTCTCACGATCTTCTCCATCACCTTGCATGGTATACAAGTTAAGGACACTGGCCTGTAGTTCAGTGCCTCTTGCCTGTCACCCTTTTTGTATATTGGGACTACATTAGCCGTCTTCCATATTTCTGGTAGGTCTCCCATCTCCAGTGACCTACTATACAATATGGAGAGTGGCAAGCAAAGTACTCCTGCACACTCTTTCAATACCCATGGTGAGATTCCGTCTGGGCCAACAGCCTTTCTCACGTCCAGATCCAACAGGTGCCTCTTGACCTCATCTCTTGTAGTTTCGAACCCTTCCAAGGCCGCCTGGTTTACTGCCACCTCTCCTAGCGCAGTGACCTCTCCTTGTTCTATTGTGAAGACCTCCTGGACCCTTTTGTTGAGTTCTTCACACACCTCTTTGTCATTCTCTGTGTACCTGTCCTCACCCGTTCTAAGTTTCATCACCTGTTCTTTCACTGTTGTTTTCCTCCTGATGTGACTGTGGAGTAACTTTGGTTCGGTCTTGGCTTTATTAGCTACATCATTTTCATACATTTTTTCAGCTTCTCGTCTCACTAACATACTCGTTCCTGGTTCTCTGGTATCTCTCTCTCTCTGCTTTCTGGTGTTCTGTTATTTCGGAAGTTCCTCCACGCCCTTTTGTTCACTTCCTTTGCTTTCATACATGCCCTATTAAACCATGGATTCTTCTTTTGCTTTTCGCTTTTTTTTTTCCTTTTGGGCCGGGATAAACCTGTTCACTGCCTCCTGACACTTTTGGGTGACAAAGTCCATCATGTATTGTACGGACTTAGTTCCGAGTTCTGTGTCCCATGGTCACCAGTTGTAGTTCAGTTCCACCAGTCATCAGTTCAGCAATTGTACCAGTGGTACAATTGGGAACCCTTAGGAATTTTCTCATCTCCTTATAATTTCTCCTTCGGTACGCCAGCCCTTTGTTTCCCAGTTCTTTTTGGGGGGAGATAATTCCAAGCTCTACCAGGTACTCAAAGATCAGTACACTGTGATCACTCATTTCCAAGGGGGCTTCCAACTTAACTTCCCTTATATCCGACTCATTTAGGGTAAATATCAGATCAAGCAAGGCTGGTTCATCCTCTCCTCTCATTCTTGTCGGTCCCTTGATGTGTTGATTTAGAAAGTTTCTTGTTGCCACGTCCAGCAGCTTTGCTCTCCATGTACCTAGTCCTCCATGTGGGTCTCTGTTCTCCCAATCTATCTTCCCGTGGTTGAAGTCTCGCATGATTAGTAGTCTGGATTCGTTCCTGCTAGCCACAAAAGCTGCTCTATTATATTGATGGTGGCCATGTTGTTTCTATCATATTATTGTCTGGGTCTTTTGTCGTTTAGTGGGGGCAGGGTGGGGTGGGGGGTTATATATGACTACTACTATAATTTTTTGTCCTACAATTGCTATGGTACCTGTTATGTAGTCACTGAAATCTTCACAGCCCCAGAATAACCATCTCTTCAAAACTCCAGCCTTTTCTTTTCAGCAGAGCTACCACCTCCTCCTCTTCCTTCTCTCTCTTTCCTCACTGCATAGTAGTCCTATGGAAACACTGCATGTGTTATGGTTTTCGTTAGCTTTGTTTCTGTGAGTGCTATTATGTCTGGCTTTTCTTCTAGTGCCCATTCTCCAAGTTCACTTGTTTTGTTTTATTTGTAATCCCATCTGGGGTGAGGGTGAGGTTCAAGGGAAAGGGGGGAGAGGTAGGGTATGGGGTAAGGAGGTAGGGGGGACATGGAGGATATCGGGTGAGGGGGAGGAGGGATAGGGAGGGTATGGGATGAAGGGGGAGGGGGGAAAGGGGGGGAGGGGGAGCAAGGTGGTAATTGGGAAGGGTGACAGGGAATGGGGTGGTGGGAAGGGAGGGATGAGTTAGCATTTGAGTGGGGTCAGGTTGGGTGAGGGGTAGGGAGGGTTTCTATGCAGAGGGTGGTGGTGTTGCCCTCCCCTCTGGTGTTGCTGGTTCTGTGTGTGTGTGTGTGTGTGTGTGTGTGTGTGTGTGTGTGTGTGTGTGTGTGTGTGTGTGTGTGTGTGTGTGTGTGTGTGTGTGTGTGTGTATTCACTTAGTTGTGTTTACGGGGGTTGAGCTTTGCTCTTTCGGCCCGCCTCTCAACTGTCAATCAACTGTTTACTAACTACTATTTTTTTCCCACACACACACACACACACACACACACACACACACACACACTCACACACACTCACACTCACACACACACACACACACACACACACACACACACACACACACACAAACACACACACACACACCAGGAAGCAACCCGTGACAGCTGACTAACTCCAGGTACCTATTTACTGCTAGGTAACAGGGGCATTCAGGGTGAAAGAAACTTTGCCCATTTGTTTCTGCCTCGTGCGGGAATCGAACCCGCGCCACAGAATTACGAGTCCTGCGCGCTATCCACCAGGCTACCAGGGGGCCCCTCACTGGTGTGTGTGTGTGTGTGTGTGTGTGTGTGTGTGTGTGTGTGTGTGTGTGTGTGTGTGTGTAAAGTGAGTCTTTCACTGGATTCAACGCTCAATTTAATTGGAAATGGGGAAAATGCATATATTTACAGAAGATGAGTAGACTTGGATGACGATACATCTCCCCATCTAATGATTCATTAGGTTGACTCCTTCAAGAAGTCGTTAACAATTCACGAACATCGCTTAAAATGTCTTAATGACTTTACTAATTGTCTGAGAGCCACTTTGTTTTATTCAGAGTACTTTGTTTACTTTACAGACGAGCCGACCAACGTCACATGTGAGCTGTACATTCGAAGCTTTGGATCCATCAACCCGACTACCATGGTGAGTACCTTGTTAAGTATTTCGTGTCCATCTACCGAATCGTCGTGGCGAGTGCTGTATTAAACCTTGTATTCATTGCGTCAGTTGTTAGGAGATAACTGTGTAAACAACATTATCTGAGTGAGGAGCCGCCGGGCTCATAACGTATGTCATATGCTGACTTATTTGTGCAGATGATTAGTAAGTATTTTTAATGTAGTGAACTTGGCATTTGAAGGGATCATTCGAAACTGTATTATCTTCCAATTTGTACTGTAAACAGTTTACATATCAACGTAACTTAATCACCTGACCTTATGTAAATGAATAAACCCACAATATTTACCATTATTAACGTATTATAAATAAAGTAGTTCCTTATTACACTATGATTTTTTGTCACTGGGATGCTAGATGTATATGTTAAATTCGGATATAATGGCGTGAGTTGATTATTTTTGTACCTAAGCCTCGGGGGGGGGGGGGGGGGGGGCGGGCATGAGGCTGCATTTTATCAGCACGAAAATGATCCTAACACAATAATATAAACTATGAATGGTTTCACATCAGGCGACCCTTCAGGTAAGTGTATCACAACTATAAATACATTTGCAGTTTTACATAATGGTAATCTTGGCGTTTGTTAACGTTCGCATAACGTTGGAAAAACTTAACGTTCGAATAACGTTCGAAATGTTAGATGGAAACTTCCGCACAGATTTATCTGGTGAAGAAAGATCCAAGATATATTAAATTATACTATTACGGTTTTGTTAGTTTTTCTGTTAGAAATCAGCAGAATAAATTTTCATTAGTCCTATCCTCAGATAGATTTTATTTGCCATTAATAATTTGAATACAATTGGTTCTCATTTTAAATATAAGGATATTGCACCTACTCAGGTGGGTTCGCATAGTGTGTGTCCTTACCACAGTTCAGGCTGTAATGCTAGACACATCGCCAGCTCCAATACCTACTTCAACTTTAGGATGCTAGACGATATAGGAGCGTCGTATAGGCTTCCAGTAGATAAACGACATATGAGATTAAGAAACAAGTAGTGTATTGTGAAGACTAATAACAAACAGCAGCTCCCCTGTGAATCTGTAATATCTCCATTGCTCAAACAATTATGCATTACCAATAAGACCTACCATTAATGTATAATGACTTCCTGTAAATATATAGCTCTTGTAATAGAATATTCTCTGTAGCTGACAATGTAATTATAAGGTTTGAAGGATAGATGAAATTGTATGTGTAATAATCTCCGTTGAGGTCTGATAAAGACCTTTTGTGGCCTCTGTAATGCTTTTTGCGCTACCGCTCACGGTACGAGTATGGGGTGCACAATAAACTAGCCTCCTCCGGCGGCAACAATCAAATTAATCATGGGTCTAGTTTAAAAAAAATAATATTTATAATAGTGGCTCATTTGATTTACGAATTGTGAAATCTTTGTATATTAAAATTTTTTTCCTAGATTTAATAATAAAACAATGAAACCTCTGGGCAAATTTACAGATTAAATTTAATCCAATTTCTTCAGATCTCTTTTTTCAACTTTTTTTTTATTTTGGTTGTATTAATTTGTTGTTTTACTTGTTGTGGAAATTACTGTATATTAATTATTCTTTATAATATTTGAATTGAGCTGGTGTTGGTTAGTCTTTTATATATATATATATATATATATATATATATATATATATATATATATATATATATATATATATATATACATATACGAATGAAAAAGCCCTGATTAAAGCTGGACTTCAAAAATGCTTTCAATCTGGTTAGAAGGGATGCAGTACTCAGTGCAGTTCATCGCCTTTTTCCTTCCCTCTACCCGTTTGTAAACTCATGCTACAGCAAGAATCTAACTCTGCTTTTTGGGGAACATGAAATTGAATCACAAGAAGGTGTCCAACAGGGTGACCCCCTTGCTCCTTTTCTGTTCTGCCTAGTTATCAAGGAAGTCACCGATAACCTGTCCAGCGAGCTTAACATTTGGTTCTTGGATGATGGTACTCTAGCCGGCTCCCCAGCCTCACTCTTGGACAACATAAGAATAATCCAGGAGCAAGGAGCAAGCCTAGGCCTCACCCTGAACCCTTCCAAGTGCGAAATAACCTCCACCAACCAGCACATAATAGATCAAATAAAGGTTGTTTTGCCTGACATTCATACAACCAACCCTGAGGACAGCACACTCCTAGGTGCTCCTATTGGAAGAAATGCCATCGACGGGGTCCTCGATAAGAAGATCAATGACCTGAAGAGGATGAACGAGAGGATTGAAGACATCGATGCTCATGATGCACTTTACCTCATCACCAGATGCTTGTCCCTCCCCAGGCTGACCTACTTTCTAAGATGTTCGCCATCTTTCAACAATATTAAATTAGAAGAGTATGACAGCTTGCTGAAATCAACACTAGAAAAAGCCCTCAATCTTTCCCTCAGCGACTCACAGTGGAAACAGGCCTCCCTTCCTGTCAGACTCGGGGGCCTTGGCGTGCGCACAGCAACACAAATTGCTGTACCAGCGTTCCTGTCCTCTTCAGTGGGGTCTGACAACTTGGTGAAGGAAATCCTACCTGAGCACCTAGTTCAACAGGCAGGGGTGCATGATCCCAGCTTCACAGACTGCACAACCAAATGGGTCTCTCTCGCAGGACCAGCACCCCAACCACCGCCTTCTGAAGCCCATAAGCAATCCAGCTGGGATCGCCCCATTGCCGACCAAGAAGCTGCAACTTTGCTAGAAGCTGCAACTTTGCTAGAAGCTGCGACAACACCACATGACACTGCCCGACTTAGAGCTGTAGCAGCTCCCCATGCAGGTGATTTCCTATTAGCAACCCCAATGTCAGCAACCGGCACCCGTCTCACACCGCAGGCCCTCCGAATTGCCGTGGCTCTCCGCCTAGCTGCCCCAATCCACACCGAGTACAGGTGTATTTGCGGCGAGGCAGAGGCCGACAGATATGGACGGCATGGCCTTCTTTGCCAAAGGACGGGAGGATGGCATGCAAGACACGGCGAGGTTAATGACATTATTAAGAGAAGCCTTACCACAGCCGGTTGTCCAGCAGAGAGAGAGCCCCGTTACCTAATGTCCCGCAACTCTGATGAGCCTGTCGGTCGCCCAGATGGAATTACGGTGAACCCCTGGAAGAATGGTAGACAGTTGGTGTGGGACTACACTTGCGTTTCAACTTTAGCCAATACCTATGTTGACTTCAGTGCTACACAAGCAGGAGGAGCTGCCAATCACCGGGAAGCGGCCAAGTCACGTAAATACAGAGACCTTGAGCACCACTACAATTTTGTCCCCATTGCCTCAGAGACACTTGGTGCCTGGGGTAAAAGTGCTGCTAGCTTTTTGAAGGAGTTGGGGTCTAAGCTAATCGAAACAACTAGAGACCCTAGAGCTGCCAGTTTTCTTTTTCAGCGCCTTAGTGTGGCAATCCAGAGAGGAAATGCTCACTGCATCCATGGTTCCTGCCCGCCATCTGAGGAGCTGGAGGAGCTATACAACTTGTGACAAGCAGCCTTGTACCCTGCATGTAATCAATATTGTAACTTTGTGTAATGACATTTTCAAATAAAGTTAGATAAATATACACACTTAACAAAAGAATAGGAGTGGTAGGAGAAGAAAATATCAAGGTGTTCAGTGAGGATCCACAAGGTCTTCTCTGAGTACTCTTTATTTTCTTCTCCGAGGCTATGGGTCCCTACAATTGCACCAGAGGTGGTACCCCTTCTAGGTTTAAAAAAAAAAAAAAAAAATATATATATATATATATATATATATATATATATATATATATATATATATATATATATATATATATATATTATAAGTTGTGTGTTGCCACCTCTGGTACAATTGTAGGGACCTATACCTCGGAGAAGAAAATAAGGAGTATTGAGAGAAGACCTTGTGGATTCTCACTTAACACTTTAATATTGGGTTTTGTTTGTATTTTTTTTTAAATGAGTGATTATAATTTCCCTGAATGTCATGACCACAAAGTAAGTGGAGTTCTTTTGTTATTTTATATAAAGGTAAATGTCAGTTTATGTTTTTTATTGTAGAATAAATTTGATATTCATTTAATTTGGATTTCTAACAATATGTTTTAATTGGATAAATATATATGAAAGTGTTTAACTTAAATATATATTTTTAGCATTTCTTGTTTAATCGTTGTTTTTAGATCTTTTTATGAAGGCGAAGGTGGTCTAAACGTTAGACAAAAGCTTTATACAAAAGGACTATTAAAGATGATGTCGCCACAACATTAGTCATCCTTTTTATTTTAATTATAAATTATTTAATATAATCTCTAGATAGAAAGTTACTGTATGGTTGGTAATAATTTACACAACATACACCCGACACGCTAACCACTACTAACACACAGACAAAATGCTGTGCTTGTATTTAACAAGAAAATCAGCACAAGCTGGAAGCACAGCCAGCCTTAATGACTTCCAGATTCCATCCGGCGATTTAAATGTCTGGCTGGAACCCACCGCTCCAGTGGCCAGTTCTGCCACATTTACAGTTACCGAAGTTCAGAAACACACAGAAATCACATTAATGTGATATGTATATCAAGGATAAAATCCGCCAGGGGTGTGAGGTGGGTGGGAACCTAATGTTAATGTGATTTCCGAGTGAACAAATCCACAAGGGCCGTGACGAGGATTCGAACCTGCGTCCGGGAGCATCCTCGTCACGGCCCTTGTGGATTTGTTCATTTGATGCATCACGTTAGTGTGATCTCTGTGTGTAATGATTTCCGAGTGTTTCTGAACTTTGGGCGTATGGGGGGGAATATCCCAGCAGGTATTTATTTATTTAATTTATTTAAATTATTTAATTCATTCATTTATTTTATTACTTTATTTCTTAAGTATTTGGTTTAATTTATGTGGACTGTATGATTTCAAAGTGGACTGTATACTTAGAGACTATCCTGCTTGTAGTTATCCTCTTTCA